ATAGGAGATATTGTTGCCTACGTGCCACTCTCCTTTCCTTCCTAGTTCCTTGCATGTTCTGTTCGCTTCTAGCGTTAACCATCTGTTAACATGAAAAGACAGATATCAGTACCATTTCTATACGAACCGTAAGAAATACAATGAATCCTAACTTAAGCTCTAATCAAGAGAAAACGCCACGCGAAAGACTTAATATGAAACATCCTAGAGACACTTGAACCTGGAGTGCTCTGATACCGTGATACCCCTCGGATCCGAAACACGGGTTGATTAGGCCCGGCCTAAACCCGAGGGATATCAAACAATTAATATTTATAACGAACACAGATTACAAAATGAAATAAGAATTAAAATTTTAAGAGCCGAAAGAAACTAAAATATAAAATCCTTTAATATTAAATATACTTAAATCCCAAAAATCCAAAACCTCCATAAGTTAAACAACTCGGGAATCCATCTCCAGTGGACCCCTAATAAAAATCCCAAACTGAAATGAAAGTAAAGCTGAAGATAAAATCCAAAACTATTATCTGGAAAGAAGTCCTACATCGTCGGTAGAGTGGAAGATCGTCTCTGCTCAGCACGCACAAGTTCAAGCTTGGAACTGGCATACACCTGAAAAATAGGAATGGGTCAAGCCCACGAACAAGTTTTATCCTACTACAATCCAAGCAGAGACTCAATACGCATATACATACTAAATACTTCAACAATATTTAATAATCCGTACATAAATATATCCACACTACTGGACTCGCACTAGACTATGAAGAGGGGTCTCAACCTGAATAGAAGGCATCACGCAAAACGCACTTGAGTGGGCATGAGTACCTAAACCTAAACAGGGTATACCTCAACCCTCACAGCCAGCTGCACATCCAACTGCATATACGCCCCCTAACCGTCGACTCTGAGACTCAAGCTCATGTCACGATAACATAAAAAATATATTTAAATTCCGTTCCTAACCATCCACAGGAAATCTAGTAAGTCATACGGCGTATTCAACCGCATTGACTCATATATATAAAGAGGATTTTCTTTAATAACCCGTACCCTTATTCCAAAATAGGTAGGACTTTAGCAACTTGTGCTATTCCAAACCTAGTATGACACCGTCCCATACCGGTGCATACAATTATATCCATCCAACAGTTGATAAGGCATTGATAGTTAAATAACGATATCAACAATTCCATACTAAGCATTTTAGAATACATTATCACATATGCTTAAATAAATCCAGCAGTTGATGGAGCATTGACAACATAAATATCAATTTCAACCATCCCATGATAAGCATGAGAACATAATAAGTATAATATTTACATGCTTATATAACACCGTTACATAGAAACTATCTCATAGAAACACATCACAGGAACTAATACTTGACCCCGTGAAGCTGTGTTTGTAAATATAAATTTAATTCCTAGTATTCATAATTAAAAGAGCCTAAATAAATATTAGGTTACTTAGTTCCTTAACCTGTATAATAAATTTAGGCAATTTATCATACCTTTAACCTCTTGTTCAACAAAATGATGCATTAAATTTTACAATTTGACCATTAATTAATCTTTAGCAAACTATAGATTTCTAGCATGTATTTCCATTCCACGAATATGTAATTAGCAATGGACAAGCTCTCACAGAAATTCTTATTATAATTAAGAAATATAAATGCCCGAAAACAAACAAGTCTGCAAAGCACATAAGAAAATCCATACAGTTTTAACGATTAAAACTCGGTATTTAAATCTGTATTATTCAATCCTTTGGAACTTTAATCCCACTCCAGACCACTGTTAAACCATCCATTACAGTGTTTAATTCTCTTAGAACACTTAGAAATTCCATAACCAAGCACTTGTCTCACTGAAAACCAAAGAAAACCAACAGAATGCAGAAAACTGAGAAAAACAAAAATGGAGTAGGCTCCAAAAACATGGAGCCGCCTCCAAACCAAGAAGAGCTGCCTCCAATCCAAAGAGGAGCCAGCTCTCTCCCTCCTCTGCCTTGTTTTCTTCTTCAGTCGTCTTCTACACCTTCGGCACTTCACAGTTTAGGTTCCCAGAGATTTTAAATTAGTCCCAGTAGATTCCAACCCTTATTTCAGTCCTTATTACAATTACTAACAGGGATTCAAATAGAAAACAATGCAAGAAAGTTTACAATTTAACCAGTTAAACAAGTATAACACGCACTGCTACAATTTAAATTTTAAAGATGTAAACTGACAACGTTTTTGTTTTAAAACATGTAACTCATTCCTGGAACTATTTACGTATGCAAAGAACACGAAGCCTAAGGGAGAGAATTAAGATAGAACTTGCCTTACACCGACGTTCGTCTCAAATTTCTGATGAATCCTCCGTTTGCTCTTTGTTCTTTCCCAACCGTCTCCAAAACTTCTCTCAACCTTACAATATCGTAAGTTTATTCTAAAAACCCTAGGTAAACAACTTAGGTGAAATTTATAGGCCGCACTAATCCTGAAATCATAAATACATACATAAATAGAGTTAAACTGTACATTATACTCCATTCATAGACTTAACTAGTGCAAGAAGGGGCGCTTGAATATGCAATATTCGGCGCTTATCACACCCTCAAACTTACATTTTGCTAGTTCCTTAGCAAAATAAAATATATAATCTTGCAAAAATGACAACATGCATCAATCATTAAGCAAGAAATTTATCTATGAAGCTCAAATGTAACATGGAATGACAGAAAATTGGAAGAAGTTCCATTAAACAGACTACCTTGCATATGTGAAGCCTTAATAATCAAAATGACATAAATAAGTTCAATCTTAAATGCATCAATCATTAAGCTTTATATAAAAACTTCAATTATCATATCTTGAATAACATGAACTCTCACTTCAGTGAAAGTGAGCCGAAATCCCAATATGCGGCGTTAACCCTCTTTTTTCAATCCAAAAAACACATTTTCACATCCTTAAATCTCCTTCAAAATGAGGTCCCCATGGCATAGTTTATTCACAATGCAACTTTTGTTACTTATTGAGAACTCTATTGTTCAACACAAAAGAAAGCATACTATTGGTTGTGCAATGCCAAAATCCCTTAAGCTTTCTAACCAACCCATATAGCAAGTGTTAAGCCAACAACTCCCAAACCAGATGGCTTTAGGGTGCTAAGTGTAGAAACACTCCTACGGCTTAATAACTCAAGCTGGAAAGGCTACGAACTTCGACAAACCAAATTTATTTATTTTTGAATAACCGTACAATGTCTAGGTTCTTTAAGCTTTCTAACCAACCCATGTAACAAGTGTTAGGCCAACAACTCCTAAACTAGATGGTTTTAGGATACTAAGTGTAGAAACACTCCTAGGGCTTAATAACTCGAGCTGGAAAGGGTACGAACTTCGACTAGTCATTGATTGCCTTTTCTTTTTCTTTTTTTTTTCTTTTTTTTAAATGCCAAGGGTATCCATTCATTAGGGTCATTAATTCAGATTACTGAGTCCCGATCAAGGTCAATTTGGGTTGCATGCCTCACGATTAGGTTTTCGATGTGCAAATGTGCAATGTGAAGCATAAAAGAGTATGAAATCCGACAATAATTTAACTGAAGTCTTTATACAAACCAATTATGAATCAACATGCTTATTTCAAAAGTTTCCTTATTTTCAAAAATTATCTTGGCTTCTATACACATAGTATTAAGTACATGCTTCAACCTTCAACAAGTTCCATGGTTACACTATCATTGCTTTCAACAACATGATTTTATTAACTTATGAGCATAAAAAAAAAAAAAAAAAAGAGCAAAAATCATACGAATGAAAGCACATGCACCCCCAAACTTGAATGTCACATTGTCTTCAATGTGAGAAGACAAAGGATAAGAGAATTAGAAAGAAAACTGGAGAGTGCAAAGAATAATAGTACCAAGTTGAGGAGGAAAAAAGTGGCGGCACAAAAATAAGCCACTTTGTGAATTCCAAGAGCATACCCCTAAACTTGAAATCAAAAAAGCTGTCAAAAACATCTATACAGAGTAAGAATCAAATGAATCCAAAAATTACTAACGATAACTGCAATTTATTTCAAAGCTAAAATCCATGCAAACTAACAAAAGAGATGCAGTTAAAAGTTTAAAAGAACTAGAAAAGAAATGCCAAACGCGGCCCAAAAGAAGTCTAAAAGTAGTACTACTGCAAAAAGGGAAATAAAACGAGAAACAGGAAATCAATCCTCCATTGGCGCGGAGGAAGAAGCACCAGGTGCGCCTAGCGCTCGGTCTATCAATAACTGGAGCATAGCCTACAAAATCTCTTAATTCTCCTGGGTTTTCTGGACGGCACCCTCTATAGCATCAAAGCATAAGGAAAAAGCATCGAGACGAGCATCCAAAGCGAGATAGTCGGCGCGAGTCATAAAATCCGGCGGTGGGACAAAAGTGGCAGCTGGAGAAGTGGGGGCATCAGGAGAAGGAGGAGCAGGAACCACAGAGGGGGCGGAGCACCCCAATCCAGCGCGACACCAATGCGGGCCTGACGGGACGTCTGAAGTTGAGCTGTGCTGGACTTCCAGACCCCAAGGTTGAAGTGCAACACATTTTTCTCTTTTTGTTCCCATATTTTTGAACAACCTTGTAATAAGGTATAGAAATAGGAATGCCCAGGTTGTGGTGGTGCGCGACCGAACCAAGATTAATTCCTTGTAGATTTTAAGCAATTGGTCCCAGACAAGTTGTGGGACACAAAACCAACACTCCTTTTCAGCATAGTAGAGGGTTTTCAAAAATTCCCCCTTTCGCTCGGAATGGCCTGGCACGGGTAGGACGTTCTTGGCCAGGACCAAACCGAGAAACCATACCCGGCAAGGTAAGAAAGATTTATTGGTGCTTGTGGTTCTGTTTCTGGTGAATTGACCATGACAAATTTCTCCCACAATGTCCGCTAAGGTAGGCTAATCGGGACCTTCAACATAAAAGGGAGGCCCGCCTCCTCCACTGGTGAAATCAAGGGGCAATCCATAGCCATAGCAAGGTCATCGAGGTCGAATTCATAATCATAGTATCAATGGTGGTTTTGATTTTGTCCAGTTCCTCACATGAATGGACCATGTTGGCATAGAACAGACGGACCACACGCGGGAAGTAAGAATGAGCGCGCAGTTTGAAAATAGACGATAGGCCACGAGCCCTCAATTCGTGGACGAACCATGTGGTATCCACATGGCTCTCGAAAGTAGGTGTAATGTCAAAACGAGCTTCGGTTTCAATTGGCCATTCAACCCAATTTGGGGGTGGAGGAGCATTAGAAGGGCCCTCAAATGACCTAGCATGCTTGGAAATAACCCTATGAGCCATGGGAATGAAAAAATTTGGTTCAGGACTTTTGTCAAACACCTGGTGTGCAGCAAAAATTAGAAGAGAACAAAATGAGGTTAGAAAGGTGAAAATTCCAAAAATTTTGCATCTTAAAAGGACATGCAATCACAACCCAACAATTACCAACCCTCCATACATGCAATCCCGGCCTCCATTGATCCACAAAATCAATGAAGTAAAAGAAGAAGAAGAGAGACTTACCCAATGTGGAGGAACCAAGGCTTTGCAAGCTTGAATGATAGATGATGAGGATGGATTTTTGATAGTGGATGATGATGATGGCGATTGGAGATGGGAATATGAATATTGGGAGAGAGAGACGGAGGGTTGTAGGGTTTGAGAGGGGTAGGGCAAGAGTAGAGAGAATGGGAAGAGTTAAAAAAAAACCAAATGGGTTTGAAAGCCCATTTAATTGGCAGCGGAGGGAAACCGCGAACGCTCGGCGGGTGCCTACGGACGCTCGGCAGGTGCCCGCGGTGCTGCTGAGTGCACTGGCATGATTCGAGGGCGCCCGCGGAGCTCTTGTAATGCTACCTTATGCAGCCAATTCAGGTTTTCCAACACACTGGCGGAAGCACATGAACTTCCAACATAGATTGGAGAGCAACTGGGTCGTGATGACTGCAAAGAATGAAATGGAACGAACTAATTCACCACAACGGTTATAAAATGCAAACACTAAGAACTTTGGATAGAATGGGAGACGTATCCAAACGGCTTCGAATATTTCCCGAAGTTGAACAAAGATATGGACATGATGAAAATGACCAAATAGAATTTTTGAAATGCCCGATGAACCAATTCAGGAAACATACACATTCTTGGTCGACTTCGCCACTTCCCGGAGAAGTCTTGTCACTGGACATGTAGAAGACGAAAGCTAAGAATTCTGAAGAATTGTTTCTCATGAATGCTAAATTTAATGTCGATAGCTAGACAAACTAGGCTTAGCATGGCTCACTAGTCCTCATAAATTGGGTCCGTCAATAGGACTTTCTCAACTTTTCGAATAGGGACTATGCCATCAACATAAGGCTTAATGCGTTGGCCGTTAACCTTGAAGAGAGATCCATCGGTAGGATCTTGGAGTTCGACTGCACCATGAGGGAAGATGGCGGTGATGACATATGGACCATCCCACCGTGAACAGAGTTTACCAAGAAAGAGTCTCAATCTCGAATTGAAAAGCCAGGATTTTTGTTCAGGGGCGAAAGACTTTTTGACAATATGTTTATCGTGAAAAGCTTTAGTCTTTGCCTTATAGATTTTGGCGCTTTCATACGCATCATTCCGAAGTTCCTCGAGCTCATTGAGCTGCAATTTACAAGTAGAGCCGGCTTGTTGGAGATCAAAGTTGAGCCTTTTTATGGCCCAATAAGCATGGTGCTCTAGTTCGACTGGGAATTGGCAAGCTTTTCCAAAGACAAGCCGATATGGCGACATGCCAATGGGCGTCTTATAAGCTGTCCGGTAAGCCCAAAGCGCATCGTTTAGTCTCAACGACCAATTTTAAGGTCCGGTCGAACCGTTTTTTCCAAGATGTGCTTAATCTCCCAATTAGATACTTTCACTTGACCACTCGTTTGAGGATGGTAAGGTGTGGCAACCTTGTGAAGGACGGAGTACTTAGAGAGGACGGATTTAAGGTAACGATTTCGAAAATGAGATCCACCGTCACTGATGATTGCTTGGGGCGTACCAAAACGACTAAAGATGTTGGATTGAATGAATTGGATCACAACTTTATGATCATCGGTTCTGGTAGCCTCTGCTTCAACCCATTTGGAAACATAATCTACCGCTACAAGGATATACTCATAACCATAAGAAGATGAAAATTGTCCCATGAAGTCAATCCCCAACACATCAAAAATTTCAATAATTAAGATTAGAGTGAGGGGCATCATGTCTCTCCTAGACATGGACCCGAGCTTTTGGCAACGCTCACAAGATTTGCAGAAGTTGTAAGCATCCCGAAAGAAGGATGACCAATAAAATCCACTTTGAAGGACTTTGTCGGCTGTTTTTTTGGCACTAAAATGGCCGCCACAAGCAAGAGTATGACAAAAATTTAGAATGCTAGTGGTCTCAGTTTTGGGAATGCATCGCCGGATGATTTGGTCCTGGCAATACTTGAATAGTTTCGGATCTTCCCAAAAGAAATGCTTAACTTGGGAGAAGAAATGGTCTCTTTCCTGTTTGGACCAATTGGAGGGAATTTTGCCTGCCACAAGGTAGTTGACAATATCTGCAAACCAAGGGAGACTTGAAAGGGAAATCTGGAAAAGTTGCTCATCTGGAAAGGAATCACGGACAGCAGCAAATTCCGAGGATTTTTCAATGAGTAAGCGAGAGAGATGATCGGTGACAATATTGTCAGCCCCTTTTTTGTCCCGGATTTCGATGTCAAACTCTTGAAGTAAGAGTATCCATCGAATTAGGTGAGGTTTGGTCTCTCTTTTCGCTAACAAATGCCGAAAAGCGGCATGATCCGAGAAGACTATGACCTTAAAACCAAGAAGATATAAGCGAAATTTATCCAAGGCATACACAACAGCTAGCAATTCTTTTTCAATGGTGGTGTAGTTTAATTGAGCATCAGAAAGAGTCTTGCTCGTATAATAGATGGCATACGGAAGCTTGTCCACATGCTGGCCCAAAACTGCACCTAATGCATAATCCGATGCATCACACATGATCTCAAAGGGGATAGACCAATTGGGCGGTTTCATGATTAGGGCTGATGAAAGAATAGTACGAAGTTTAATGAAAGCTTCCATGCAAGCTTCATCAAAATTGAACGGAACATCCTTGGCAAGAAGATTACACAAGGGCTGAGAAATTTTTCTAAAGTCCTTGATGAAGCGATGATAAAATCCAACATGACCAAGAAAGGAACGACTTTGATGGATGGAATTTGGAGGAGGAAGATTAGAGATTAACTCAACTTTTGCCTTGTCCACCTCAATTCCCCATTTCGAAATGACTTGTCCTAGAACAATGCCTTTTTGGACCATGAAGTGGCTTTTCTCCCAACTTAGAATGAGATTTTTCTCTTTACAACTTTGGAGCACAAGAGATAAATTTTTGAGATAAGAATCAAAGGAGGAGCCAAAGACGGAAAAATCGTCCATGAAAACTTCCTAGAATTTTTCAACCATATCAAAAAATATAGACATCATGCACCTTTGAAACGTTGCCGGAGCATTGCATAGCCCAAAAGGCATGCGACGATATGCAAAGGTTCCAAAGGGACATGTGAATGTTGTTTTCTCTTGATCTTGGGGGGCGATTGCCACTTGTTTATAGCCGGAATAACCGTCAAGAAAACAATAGTAGCTTTGGCCGGCTAGCCTTTCTAGGATTTGATCAATAAATCGGAGTGGAAAATGATCTTTCCTAGTCGATGAATTGAGCTTCTGGTAGTCAATGTACACACGCCACCCGGTGGTAGTTCGTTGCGGCACGAGCTCACCCGCTGAATTTTCAACAACGGTGAGACCAGATTTCTTGGGAATAAATTGTGTGGGGCTTACCCACTTGCTATCAGAGATGGGGTAGATGATTCCCGCATATAGCAGTTTTATCACTTCCTTCATTACTACTTCCTTCATGTTAGGATTTAACCGGCGCTGAACCTCTCTAGTGGGCTTTGTGTCCTCCTCTATATGAATGCGGTGCATACAAATGGAGTGCTCAATTCCTTTTAAGTCAGCCATTGTCCAACCAATAGCTTCTTTGTGCTCTTGTAGCACCGCTAAAAGGTTGGTTTCTTGGTCCTTTAGAAGGTCCGATGCAATAATAACCGGGAGAGTTTGATTTGAACCAAGGAATACATACTTGAGATAGGCCGGGAGCAGCTTAAGCTCAAGTTGTGGGGAGATTTCAGAGATGGAACCGGAGGAGTAGTGGAGAGCTGAGGAAGTGGCTTTTTCATAATTTTCCAAGGAAGAATGTCCATGATAGCATCAACATCAAGTAGAGAATTAACTTCTTGGATAGATTGATCAATGTCAAAGATTGAGAAGTCAAAATGAGACATGCAAGTTTCAAGGGGGTCCTTACTTAGGATGAAGGGGAGAGATTCTTCGACCACTTCATCAATGACATCAACGAGGAAACAATCATCCTCATTGGAAAAATGTTGAGTTGCATGAAAGATGTGGAGTTTGACTTGCATGTTTCTAAAAGCAATGTCCATCACCCCGGTTCGGCAATTAATTGAGGCATTAGCTGTAGCTAAGAATGGCCTACCAAGGATCACAGGAATGTGCTTTTTTGGATCATGGACCGGTTCCGTGTCAAGAACCACAAAGTTTACCGGGAAGTAGAATTTGTCCACTTGGATGATAACATCCTCAAGAATGCCTCGTGGATGCTTGACCAATCTATCGGCAAGTTAAAAAACCACGGAAGTCGGCTTTAGATCTCCCAAACCAAGCTGTAAGTAAACTGAGTATGGAATTAAATTCACACTAGCTCCTAAGTCAAGGAGGGCCCTCTCGATTTTGTTGTCACCAATGACATAGGAGAATGTAGGGGGCACCCGGATCTTTATACTTTAGAGGAGTGTTGTGCTGAATGATAGCACTAACATTTTCAGTTAACCTCACTTTCTTTGACAAATGATTTTTAGAAGTGCACTTTTGAGTGCACAAGTCTTTGAGAAATTTTGCATAAGGAAAGATTTGCTTGATAACATCTAAGAGGGGCAAGTTGATCTTCACTTACTTAAAAACTTCCCACATGTCTTGAATTTTACAATTATTGTTCCCAATATGTGTTGACTCTTGAAGACGTTGAGAAAACGGAGCTTTTGGCTCATAAGTAGTTTCCACATTTAGGTTAACATGTGTGGGATTTCCGTGAATGGTATTTGGACGAGAAGAGCTTGGAATTTGATTGGAAGAGCTTGAATTTGGATTTTTCAAAGGAGGTTCTTTTTAATTTTTGTCTCCATCAATCTTGTTGTCAACGACTCTACCACTCCTAAGGATGGTGATTGCTTGAACATGCTCATAACTTGGCCCACTCGATGGAGGGGTTTCACCAATCGTATGCTGTGATACCCTCGGATTTCCGGATGTGGGTTGGCCAGGCCCACGCCCGACAACCCGAGGATATCAAATCAATTAGCAATTTAATGAACACAGAATATAATATAGGAAACAGGAATGAATAAAATTTTGCTGAAAAGAACTAAAATGAAAATCTTTTAATGGAAAAAAAAACCTCCGAATAAACTTTATATGCAAGAACTAGTTTGATTACACCAACTTTTCCTTTACTTCTAATACAACTTGGGAATCCATCTCGTGGACCCCTACTAAAAATATTCCAATACTGAACATGAACAACTGCAAAGAAAACCAATGATCATAATGAGAAGAAAATACTCCTACGTTATCGGTGGAGTGAATAACTGTATCTGCTCAACACGATCAAGCTTTAAGCCTGGAACTGACGAACACCTGTAAAAATAAGAGTGGGTCAGGCCCACATGCAAGTTATATCCTAACTACAATCCAGACAGTGACCCGATACGCAGATACACCTTAGATATCTCAGCAATAGCTATCTAGTCCATACATATATAAATATCAACACTAAGGGACATTCACTGGACTATGTAGGGGGTCTCAACCTGAATAAAAAGCAACATGCAAAAACGCACCCAAAGGTGGGCATGAGTACCTAGACCTAACAGGGTACACCTCAACCTACTATAACCAGCTACGCATCCACTACATATACGCACCCTAACCAACGAGTCTGAGACTCAAGCTTATCTCGCGGTACCATAATCATATATTTAAAATCCGTCCAAACCAGAGTATGTCATTAAATTTCTTTGTTGATCTGACATAAGACGTATAATCAGTTAACCACTCAACTTATTCAGTTGATATGAGTTAACTCCAAACAACAGTAAATCCAAATGGTCACTCAACTTACTCAGTTGATCTGACTTAAACAAAATTAGGATTCAATATTTTACAATCCTTTCCTTTAATCCAATAGGTTAGGTTTATGCGTTTTGAGCTAAACCATCCCTAGTATGACACCGTCCCATACCGGCGCATACAATCCTCCATATCCATGTAATTGACAGAATATATATTAATCCAGCAATTACAATCCAAAACCATGTAAAAATTACAGACTATGATAAATAGTACAGCAATTTTAATATCCAAAACCAAAAGCCAGGTAATTGCAGAATAGTTCATATAATACTTCAGCAATTTCAATTCAAAACCATCATCCAGTTAATTGTAGAATAATATATACCATTTCACAATTAACATCCAAAACCATGTAAATTACAACATATAAATTAAAGTTTAGCAATTCACAGTCCAAACCAATATTCAAATAATTGCAGAACTGTGTTTAATATTCAACAATTCAAATCCAAGCTTATAACCATATAGTTGCAGGAACCGATTTAATAATTCAACAAATAGCATCCCGAGCATGCATAGATCAGAACTAATAATTAAATGACCTTCTCATGCATTTTAAATAAGTTTTATAATCATGCTAAATCCGATCAAATTGCTAAAATTTAATTAAGCAATTAATCCGTCTTCCATCCGTTAACAGCATAGAAAGTTCATTAATTTTATATTGTTTGTCCCATTGATTTAGAAATCAACTTTAATCAGTTCAAGGTTTTAATCACACCCAAAATTAAATATTCAACCCCTCTGTGAAGTCCCATTAAATTTCTGAAATTTAAACAAGCCACTCAGTTCCTTTCTTCTGTTAATAGCATGCACAGTTGCAGATTTTTGCACTACTTCATCCTTTATCATAGAAACTTAAACCATGCAATAATAAGTTTAATAACACTTAGAATTAACCATTTAGACCCTCTGTAAAACCCCAGAGTCAACAAAATAGTTCCCATGCTCCAACAGTAAATAAATTGTTCGTAAAAAAAAAAAATTCGGAGAACACTATTGAAAAGAGCCTTCTCCAAAAAACTGGAGAAGGCTTTAAACCACCTAGAGCCTTCTCTAAAAAACTAGAGAAGGCTTTAAATCACCTAGAGCAGGCTCCACATTTTAGAGCCTTCTATTTCTCCCTTTGAGCCTTCTCCTTTGCTTCCTATTCCACCTGCATAATTGCATCTCTTATGCACTGAAAACTTATAACAATACCTAGATTGCATGTTAATCATCTTAGTCTACTTCCCACACAGTTCCATACTCAAGAATCATCCACACAGTGCACCCAAAAATCCACAATCGAACCAAACAAAGCACAAAACTGTTTCTGTAAACAAATAGGATCATAGAGCCTTCTCCAAAATAGTGGAGAAGGCTCAATCTGCCTAGAGCTGGCTCTCCTTGCCTAGAGCCGGCTCTCTCCCTTTTGAGAGCCAGCTCTCTCCTTTTTGAGAGCCTCGACTTTGTTCCCTCTTCGTTTCCGACCATCTGCCTCGTCTCCGGCCCTTTCCTACCCCTCTGTTCTTCCTTAAAACTTGTCCTCACTGTCTAATATATATATAATGTTAATCCCCAGTCCTTAATTTACCACAGTACAAGTTAATATAGTGATATAAAACAACGACCAATTTAATACTTTGAAACAAACAACGAAAAACAGAGTTGCAAGAATTGTTTTCAGACAATATGCACATATACAGATGATCTAATTAACATATTCCAAGCATGTAAGATTCAATTAAAATTCAAATACAATCCTAGAGATCATCAAAGGATGCACAGAACACAGGCAAAGGGAGAGAGACAGAATAGAACTTGCCGTTCGGTTTCGGTTTGAAACCTTTCAACATCGTCTTCTTACTAGGTTTTCCGGCGACCTTAGTTGCCGTTGAATCTCCTCTACTGCTCTTGGTTTAACCCCACGAGCAACTCAGTCCTTTCTCCTTGGTCCAACCTTTAATCCATAACAAAAATCCTAACGAAACTCTCTCTCTCTCTTCCACACAATACCCTCTCTGTTTCTCTATGTCTCTATATACGAATTGGGTTTTAAAAAAAAACCCCTTGCAAAATTATCACAGTATATTTATAAGCATATATAAAACCTACGTCTACTTATATTCAGAGATTGAATCACAACTAAACCCTAGTCGGCCAATTTTGTTATACGATTTAAAACCCTAGAATTTATAATACACCTTAAATGATGGTAATATTATAATTTAATTAATAATAATTACTAATTATTAACCTAATCCACATATACATATATACCCATATATACATGTATATACTTCCATGGGTATATACTGTACCCATTTACACTATCCAAAAGTCAGTGAATCCTAACCAAGCCCAACCTTGTTTTAAAAATAAATAAATAAAACAATGCATTTAATTAAACATTTCAAAGGCCTCTTAAGTATATAATTCAATTAGAACAAAGAATTCAATTAACCAATTAAACATTCCAACACAACAACTAATCATTTAAATCAAATAAAAAAATAATTAAACACAAAATCAAATAAACACACAAAAATGCCCTAAAAATAATTTAAATTCCAATTTTATCCTTTTGAAAACTAGGGGTATTACATATGCATCCCTCTAGGATTTTCAAATGGTTGAGCGGGAAGCTTACCTTTGTCCTTTTGAAGCAATTGGTTCACAGTGTTAGCTATTTGGCCCACTTGATTTTTATCAGTTGGGTACACCGGAGGTTGATTGGAGACATTTGGATTGTACGGAAGACGGTAGCTTGA